ATGAGTCTGTTTATCATACCAACTATACAAAAGGCCACAAGAAGGAAATATAAAAGCCCATTGCATTACGTTCAAAATATTATGATGCAATTTGGTCAACAGAGTGACAAACTTTTGAAAGTAGGTTATGTATTTGAAATAACTACTCCCATATTCTATGAAAAGAAAACAACACCTAAAACACATACATCCATACATATGCACACAGACGTATCACACACCCATAAAACATGATAGGTAAAAAATCAAAAGAATAAAGAATGATAAAGTTCTAGAAATCAAAGTAGCATGCTAATTCTATAGATAGTACAACCAAGCTAAGTTAATTTTCAAGTTATTTATCTTTACAAATGTATAACACATAACAGATGTAATTCATGCAGCCTTTATAAAGTGACGAATTTTATTGTGTCTTCCGGTGGCAATTTCAGGAAATGATTTGAAAATAAGGGACAAAAAAAATTGTTATTTTATAATTTGAGGAGTAAACCTTATTTGTCTTATGAACATGTATTATAAAAATAGCACTAACATGTTTAGCAGAAACAAAATCATAATAAAACAACAAGAGTTTTAAGGTTATTATTCAGCTGTCTATAGTCTCACTCATTATTCAATACACATTTTCTGTGAACTTGTCGATCAAATACGTTAATTAAATGTAAATCACAATTTAAAGCAATTACTTAATTTAGTAAGTTACGTATCTTCAAGAAATATTTTTTTACTCCAAAACATTCAGAACATCCAAAGACACAATATTTTGCAAGAAGAGATAATACTAAATTTTAAAGCATAGTACAAAAATACAATATTAAGTAATATTGAACAATAAAAATTACAAAAAGAAATGAAAACTTTCCAAATGCTCCTGCGGCATGCCTCAACATTAAATATAAAAAACAACATAAATAATAATTCTAATTTTTCGGGAGTAATTTTAACAGTGTATTTCCCTACTGTATCAGAATTACTCTTCGAGTCAAATGTATTGTATTTACCCTGATGGATCATAAACGTCCAACACAGATCAGATCAACAGAAGTAAAATATTAATTTATATCTAACCACAAGAATTGCTAATACTCATTAGCAATTCAGCATTAGGTTTCTCTTTAATTCCCTAAATATTATAGAGTAATACTGGTGTACAAATTACCAGACGTGAAGAGCATTCACCCACAGTTTCCATTAATCAATACATTGATAATCTGCACGTAAATCATCAAAACAAGAGCATAATTAAATGAAATCTTTATTACAAAATGCCAACATATGAAAACATTGCTATTGGATTTTATCAATTTAAGAATTATCATAAAAGAGCCACTATGATTCTAGATTTCAACACATATTAATAATCAAAAACCTATTTTTCAATTATAACAACATTTAATTACATCTTTTGCCTTTATTAATAATTTATAAATCTTTCGAAAAAAACTTTTAGGTACTGAAATCAAAATAATCCTTCATTGCGCATATCTACTCAACATAGCAGATTAATTGGCAATGCTCAAAATTACATTAAAATAGGAATTTCAGACTCTGAGTAACTGTGTTTACAAAAACACAGGCATTTTCATTGACACCGATACAAAATAGTTACACATGTTCAAATGCAACACACAATTATATTTACACTTCACTGTTAGAAGCTACAAAACATTCACTTCGCATTTGGCAAATCTTACAATTCCCATAAACATTTTAAGTTCATTCTGCAGACTCAAAACATGTAGTACAAGTTTCCATTAATCAATAATTTTAAAGAAGCTTTTTTCCCAGTATACATTTAAAAAAATGCATATCATACTGGATATTATTAAAAATTAAATATTTTTTATAAATCCAATTACATAAATTTACATTTAATACAAAATTTCACATTACGTTAAATAGATTATTTCACTTTCTGACAATTAAATGTAAAATTTGCGCTATTTCATTCATTTTTTGTGTTAATTAAAAGTATAGACTTGGGGCTATTCAAAAAATTTGCTAACTTTTCAGGTTTGAAAGGGTGTTCCCAAACTTGCAATGAAAATGAATGAGGGAGGAAGAGGTTGATGAAAATAAATGTTCTCTCAATATTTATAAAATATTTATTATATTAATATATTTTAACAAATTATTAACGAAAGTTAATTTTACTCAGGAAGTTGGGGAAGGACTTCCGACACAGAGCACATTCATTTGGTGGGGTGAGGGTGTTTGTGTTACAAGGGGTGAAGGGTGGGCAGTAATAAGAGCAAAATTTTGTTATTGTATTTTTTGAATGAGCCCTTTAGTAACTTAGACAATATAACATAATATAAGAAACAACCTTAAAACCTTGAATAAAACTATATGTCAATTTGTCATATTACATTCAGAAGAGAAATAAATATTATTCTATTAAGTATAAATAGTTTGTAATTTGGGTCTTAAATATATACACCATACACAACACAAGAATTCAAACAATTGGCAATTTATATTCTAAAAGGATTATGTGTAAATAAAAAATCAATTGTTTACATCTTGGCAATTTTCCCTTAATAATTCAGACTGAATTTACATAGTCATACAAAATTACAAACAGAAAGCACTTCTATACATTAAAAAAAATCCAACAGGTCCCAACATGATCTTTTTTCTAGCCTTCTACTAATGATAATTCCCCATGAAATACCAATTGCATTTAGACACCAAAAATATATTCACACAAGAGAGGATTTACAATTCATTTCTTTTGAATTTTTCCCCCATCATAGCATTCAATATTTTAATAACGAAATGCAATTAATTTGTGTTTATTTACAATTTTTAAAACAACACTTCTGTTACAGGTTTAATATTAACAAATATCTCATTTGAATGAATTATACAAGTATTTAATATTTACATGTAAGAATCTGTTTTACAAATGGCCTTTAAAATTAACAATAAATAGTGTAAAATCAAAACAACTTATAAATCATATTAACACTATTACACATTTTGTCTAATTTTTATTTGATAAAAGGATTGCTTTATTCATATCAATTATATTTACAGATAACATAATACTTTCTCCTATTTGAAAACCATTCTGATTTTTATTAGCGTTCAAATTCTAATCTTTATATTGATATTTGTTCTGGCCCCATAATTACATAGTGCTCTATAAATACAGTGAATCCTGTTCAGATAGCCAGCTCGTTTAAGCGGCCACCTCAATTATGGCCATTTTTTCGTGGATTGATTTTTACACAAGTAACGTGTGAAAATTCCCATTTGAGTGGTCATCTGGTCCCGCGGCCAAGCACTTTTCGTAGGTTGACCTCTAGTGACTTTAGACATTTAGAATAAGCAGAAGAACGGTAGAGATACTGTTGATTTAGTACTATGTTGCGATGGGACGCATTAACATAAAGCAGGGATAACTGTTGATTCAGGTAAAAAATATTTTAATAATTGTCTCTATGGAATAACAACACATTTGCTTTGTTCATTCTCGCGCAGTCTGCTAACCCTTGCCTCCCCTCCGTGCGAACTTCTCAACGGCCCGCGCAGCACGCCGCGTGCCTGAAACAAATGGGAAGGTCCCTTGCGAACTCCTCGGGAAGACGGCCCTACCCAGGCCCGGATTAAGCACAAGGCTGCCGCTCCGGGCTCCCCGTAAGCGTGAAAGACTACACAAGACTGCGTTCCGTGAAAATTCCTTGCATCGAGAATGCCCTCGAGAGATGCTGCAAGATATTCTCGTGGCCTGTAGTAATCCTCGCTGCAAGTTATACCGAAGGAAATTTTTCGTGAGTTCGCTGTCGTTAGGGGTAATCTCCTAGATATCAGCAATTGGATCGTGTAATACCGAGTGTCGATCTTCGCTGAACTCAACACGAGCCTGTTCGGGCGCACTCCATCAAATTTCTCTCGACAACTGATGTCTTCACTGCCTTCCAGTGCCCTCCCATGAGAAAGAGAATCCCGTCGCCGCTCTTTTAACTGTGCATTGGTAATCCACCCTCCACATCCTTTTTCTCTTCCTGGGCCAGCAAGGCCTTCGACAAAATTTGAGACTGAACACTCGATGGTCCATCATCGAGAAATTATCTTTTCTCACTCCCTCCTTTCTGTTCCCGACTTGCTCACACTTGATTGCCGCGATAGTCGGTGGAGTGAGCAGCAGCGCAGCGGTAATTGGTTCTTCGATAGTTGATTCCGACAGAATTTAACAAATTAAATGAACAGGATGCTCATTTCAAGGTTTTGGCAAATTTACCGTCAAAACTGTACGCTTTTTCATCATGTCACACCAAAGACAAATAAAGATCTAATACAGGCCCAATACTTGGATAAAGCGTGCCTAAAAATGAAAGCTATCGGCGGATCGTGAATGACAATTGAAAAATGCTTTACAAGAGGTACGTAAAATAACAGCTTTTCTTGACATGCCAAAGGATCACACCTACTGATATTGAATTTATGACAAGAAATGTTTATAATGTAAACAAAACCGAAAATAAAAACATTAGGCGGGAAGAATATTCCTCTACCACTGAAGTAACGAATTTTGTACCAAGTCTACCCTCTAATAAATTTTTAACTTATTTTTTAAAATATTCCTATTAATTTATAAAATTCAGAAATATCAAGGGTAAAATACAAAAATGCAACATTCATTTGTATAAAGTATAGAAATTGTTTCATTGCTAGGATACAAATATGTGAATACTTTTAAATATCAAAGTTTTTCCCCCATTTTTAATAATGGAAATGTATCATGTAAATAAACCACATTAACTGCATGCTACATGTGTATTTCATTCTTTCTGAGAGGGGGGAAAAATTGTTTGCAAATAATGTTATGAGCAATTATGAACCCCAATTTTGATTTTTTAGTTTATATCTTGTTTCTTGTGATTTATGTACAAAAACAGAAAATACTTTTTAAATATGAAATAAATTTTAGATTTTCCTGTCCCTAAGCAACAATTAGAACGGAATAAGAAAGGAGTGACTTTTATTCCTCCCCCCCCAATCCCGAACTGCTACGGAGCCCCAACAAGGGTTAAAACTACCCTGGCTTGGCTCAGTGAATGTGAATTGCATTTTCAAGTTTCGTTTGCTTACGAGTTCAGTTCCATGGAAGCAATAAGATAAAAAATGCAAAGTCAAGGATGTTTGCCACTAGTCAAGAGGAGGCAAGTGATCCTAGAAAATATGGTAAACAAGAAAATGGTTTCTGATAGAAAACTTGTTGACATTTTTAAGGGCAGAAAAGCACAACTTAATAAAATTATAAATCAGGTTACACTTTTAGGGAGTTTCAAAGCCTGTACAGCTAAAAAGAGATGTAAACTTGCTTTACAAACAAGTAAAATCCATGCATGAATATATCTGACCACATTTTATAATTCAAGTGATGTTTGTTTTAAGCTGAATTTTGTGGTACCCTAGGTAATTAAAATTATTTTATGGAAAACATTTTATTTCATAGCAATTAAAACAATTAGATCTGATTCACACTTCCTCATAACCTTCATTAAACGGCCAGCTAAATTAACAGTCAATTTTCACTGGGACCTTTAGAGGCTGCTTAAGACAGATTTCACTATTGTAAATAAGGTTTGTCAGTCAAGGTATTTTGGGCATATTTAAGGGAATTTAAGACTTTTGAAATAAAATCTGCAATATTAATGATGTTACCAACCAGAGTTATTTCTTTTCCCTTATAAAATTTTACAAGAACTTTAATAGAACGTTATATGAGGAAATTTTCATTTCAAAATAACTGTATGTTAAATAAACATGGACAAATGAATGGCAATTTAACGCTGATGGAAAGAAAAAAGCTAAAGAACAAAACTGGATTAATTTACTATGTGTTTATGACACCTTCCAACATCTTTAATTTGAAAAAGTTTCTATAACATTTTAGTTACACTTTCCCAATAATAAAAGCAAATTGTTTCATGATCAACCTTTTACAAATCAATGCTACTTCTAAGAGAATGTGATTGTATAAAAAGTGCAAGATAATTACATCAATATTTCCTTCTTCACTAATTATTAATATAATTATAAAGCCACCACATATGCTCATAGGCCAAATATTTGCCTATCAATTATTTTAACAGTACATGATTAATTACATTTTCTTGTTTTGAAACTCAATCTTTACTTCCTTCAAAGCATTCATCACATTTCTTACAATGATAAAATGTGCAATATTTTACAAAACACATTAACAGGTTTTTTCTAATGATCTCAATTTTTTCACAGTAAGTTTAGAATGAAACCAATCATTACAATAACTTGTATTCATACTAATTTTCTGTGGTCTAAGAATCTTAAAACACAAAAAGTTCAAAAACACCAAACATTTATGAGGACAACTGCATTATGAAATTTCTACCATTTTCTAGCAGTTCACTGTAGTTACACTTTCACACAACACATTGCTTTATCTAATCTAAATGTCTAATATTTTCAACATTAATATATATTATGTATATTGTCATGTTTTAGCTAGATTCCTTTACTTCAAGAAATCTAGAAATTATTGTCAACACAGCCTTGGAGAGTAATATCTCTTGATAGACTTATTAGCTTAAAAAAAGGTACACATAAAACCATTTCACTTTATAATATATTCATAACATAAGTCTTTATGTATAACAATATATTATATTTCTCTTCATTTTCAAAATATATATATATGTACATGATATATGTCACAATAAGTATTGTAATGCAAGGTCATTTTCAAAAGGTTAGCAGTAAAAATAAGATTGCTAAAAAAACATTTATATTCTATCCCTATAGAGCACATAATATAAGACAGCATGAGAGAAATTATAACAAGAGTTGAAGAACATTATTTTATGTTTCTTTCAGTTGTAACAACATTAAAACTTCACTGTAAATTTTCAGATTTTTAGTACTTTTGTTCTCAATTGAGAATTCATTAAACTACGTGACAGTTTGTATTTAAAAAATAGGGAATTAAGAAAAAAAATTAACGAAAATTAGATGAAGTTTTGTCAACTTTAAGAACATCATTTGCATTATTATTAATAACTTATATAAATAGTAGTAGCAGTTGTAGAATGTACATAGTGCAGTTGTGGAATAAAATAAATTAGCCTGAAGACAAACTTTGAAAGTATTCATAATTTACACTTAATTCTCATTTTTCATAGAAAGACTATCAAGAAACAAATAATTACTTAAAATATGTCTTATATTAATATGATTTAATAATAATAAGGTATTGGATATATCTTTACACTTTTTCCTCTGATTTTAAAAATAAATACTAGCACAGCTTGAAAACCTCAATTTATGTCTTCTTGACTCACGTTTTTAAAATTATTCCACAAATTCTGTACATTTGGCTTGCTTCTTAGAGGTTGAAATTGGAAAACACAAGTGTGAAGAAAACAAATTATCTTTTGTTGTCAATTAATTTTCCTTAAAAATGTAATGCAAAAGCCAATTTTATATTCATAGCACAATGTACTGAATATTTGAGAATTCACAGCTATGACATAAGCATGTTTGCTATTTATACATGTTTCTAAAGTTTATATAAAATCTTTCTTAACTTTTTGCATACATTAATGATGTGCATAAGATTGACACAACCAATTTGGTTCTGACTTCATATATATGATGTCAATTAAATCTGATTACATTAGCAACTGGTTTCAATTCACTTTAATTCAACTCTGTTCCAATAACCTGATCATATACTTTATATAATTCTGTCTGGGGATGTGATTTTTTAAGGTATCTGAAAAGCTGGCACCAGTTTTAAATCTACGTTATTTCTTACCAATGGGTTATATACATCAACATCATGTTCATAAATCTAAAAGCCATCACTATGGTTAAATGCCTCAGTATAAGAGCACATAATTACAGTTACACTACTGGATTATGAAAGGTGGATACTAGTTCATACCAATATAAGTATGAATACCATTAAGTTCCTTGAGATATGGAGGGCTCATTAAGGGAAATGGAAAAATTGTATCTTACTCTTAAAAATGTAGACATATTAAAAGAAACAAGCCATTTTATCTAGATATTTCTTGAGAAATAACTGCATATCTTGCTAACCTTTAGAAATATGACAGTTTTCAACAGCAATCCTCTTCAAGAGAATACAAAGAATGTACGATAAGTAAAGACATGTAGGTAGATAAAGGAACATATGTACACAAAATATGTGAAATTAAATTTCCTGTTCAAAATAAACACCAAATTAACACTTTAGATACTAAAGAATAAATGTAAGAAATTATTTTAACAAGAATCATCAGTCCAATTACAATGAAACATCTACAAAAACTAAGTTAATTTACCACCTGAGAACACAAGAACATCGAAAGTAAACAGGAATACATTAACTACAAAGCAAGTATGGTTATCATGCATTGAATAACAAAAAGCACAATGCTTACTTATTACACACAAATATTCTACAATATTTACATAGTTTTATATATATATTTAATTCATGAATCTACATATATACAGTGTTCGTACATGAAGCCTCTACATTAACGAGAGTTAATGCAGAAGCATATGGAAGCAAAAATATGTTGTTCGCAGAAAATAATAGTAAATTAAAAGTTAAAGTTTCTGCACATAACTGGATTAACTTATAACTGCATATTATTCATACAGAGTAGATATTTCTTTTCACGTAATATACTTTTATTACACATGCTCCAAAGCTTCAAAATTCTACTTTCTTTAGGCTTTAAACAACAAAGCAATCTCAAAATAGAGCATATTTCTTATAACAATACTTTTCAAAGGCTTCTAATATTACATGCATACTGTATTAAAATTTCTTGAAGTAATAGACTACAGACACTGAATAATTGAATTCTGAATCAACTGGTCAAATATATGCTTCATGAATTATTTCAAAGTTATACAATGCTAACATGTAAGAAGTAATTAATTCTTTAACAACAATACACACTTGTGTAAGACAAGATTAACAATTCTGAACATTCATTTACTCATTTTATGTTCTGCTAGAGAACAATGTTAATCTGATCAACACATTTACTACTATTTGATTTCTCTTCCAGCAGATTTAAATTATTTTATTTAGACACTTGTAAACATTATCATCATATGTATTTGAAAGGAGTGTTAGGCAAAACATTAACAACTACTTATTGTTGAGATGCAGAACATAAAATGAGGTACTGATATAATCACAGATCCACTCACAATTTACAGCTAATTAATGGCAATTAGATACATCATTGGCATAATTTCAATTTCAAAAATGTGATTCAGATGACAGACATCAATACAGTCTCAACAATAGTAAATGTAACAGTGTATACGGGCTTCTGTCAAATATATTATGAACTTTTCAGTTACAGTTTAAACATTCAAAATCTGAAGGCAATCATAATTTCTACTTCTCCATTTAAATACACTCTCTCAACTTCTTATTAATGAAGAAAGAAAATTTGAACATTATTGTGGATAAAGTAATATTGTTAAATAATATCAACTTTTGCGAAAATTTATGACAAATTATTTAAAATTTTAAAAGATGTAAGCCATTGTGACCTTTTCACTTACAAAAACATAAAAACCAAATTTAATTACAATTATTCTAAAACAGTTTACTTATTAATATTTTAGTTTACTCTAAACATCTGACTGATGTTATTCGATTCATATCAGAAAACAATGTAATTTTAATTTTTCTTGATATATATTTCTAATGTGGAAAGTTTACTCTGCATCCTTGATATTTGAAATCTTCATAAATGATGAAAAACAAGGATATACATTATTCTTAAATTAAATTTTGTAAAAATAAATAAAATTATATCGTGATGACATTTTCCAGAATGTTTGTTCCACTATGCATTCAAAACAAGAAATAGAATAATAGCATAAACTTTTTCAATGTATTTATCAACATAAAATATGAAAATAAAGAAAAAATGGGAAACATTACAGTGCATGAAGAACATGACGCAAACATTTATGACTAAACATAACGAAAATCACACCGGATAACAAATAATTGCACCTCTGTGTAGGGTACACAATTCATGAATGCTGCTATTTATTTATTTACATGTACATAGAAAAAAGCAGAGCACTCAAAGCACATACAAATATTAATGTTTTACTGAAATATTTGATATCAAAATAAAGATGCACCATTAAAAATTTCATAAAATATGTACAAATTTCTACATCTTCAAAGCTTTCTTGATGTAATGTAATAATGTTAATATAAATTAATCACGAAAATATTAGAATCTATGATTTATTTCAGAACTGTAAACATCACTGATTACTTCACATAAGATGTATAAAGATGCCATGAACAAATGGATTAATTGTTGTTACTCAGGATTCCTTACTTGTACATTCTTACATATCATTTGAATATCACTGATGGATCATAAAATTATTTCAAGAATGAAATGGATATGGAACATGTTTAATAATGTATGATGTGAAGCATCAATGTTTTAACAAATTCTTACAACAAAATACTCTACATTTCCTCAGCGGATATCAACAAAAAAGGAATGATTAACAAAGGTACCAAAACACTACTTACTTAACAAGAATGAAGAAAAGAAGAATGAGACCAAGTCAAAGTAAAACTACCCAATACTTTTGGTAAACAGTTTTCAATGCTACGAAAAATAATTCTACACAATTTTATTTTAATATAATACCGGAATTACTGACGTACCCTTACACAGGATGGGATTCAGCATACCAAACAATTGTAATAGTAAAATATGAGGCGTAAACGTTATCGACACATGCGTATGTCACAAGCACACGTTCATGCTCCCGCCTAAACGTAAAGTATACAAACTACTACAATAATTTTTTGAACGAATATGTACACTGCAGACAACTGTCGATCTACAATTTGTTCTACCATTGACGGTTGAACTGGCATTGTCGAAGAACAGTTTTTAGGCAATAAATAAATGGACCTGGATCTAAAATAAACAATAAAATACGATAATACTTACGAACGTGGACAAAGCGCACGCACACGAAACATAACCTACCATTCCCACGTTTTGTCATTCGTGTTTTGTACCGAAAAAGTTTCGACATATTACCAACAGCATTACACTAATTTATATACTGTTATAACTTACAATTTGTAAAGAGTAAAATTATAAAACACAAACTAGTACATTAATAATGTGTTGTTATCAAAGTATTTATGATGCAATGCCAAAGAAAAGTTATTTTCTTACATCACTGTGTAATTGGTGTGTTGTAGCTTGTTGGCTAACCTGTGCATATTTACTAAGAATTGCAAATCTTTCTTGGCGGGTGATTCAAAGGAATTAAAAGATGCAACCATTTAAGATCCCAGTTTTATGATGATCATTATTTTAAAGTAATTCGTTTAGGAAATTATGAAAGACATTTTCAAGGTTGATGATAACCTGGGTTTCTGGATAATAGCGATGGTTGAGGTCTGTTAGCTAAAAAGGTTCTTGTAATGAATTGCATAATTTTTTATGTTTTATTTCATATTAAAACAATACATAACTAAATTCTCAACTGTAGAAATTAAAAACAAAGTCCAATGTTTTCTTATGGACTGTCATAAATACTTTGAATATATGTAACTGATTCATATACATTCCTTTAATAAAAAAACAATAATTCCATAGTAGTTTAAATATACCTATTAACAAAATTATCTTAACAAATTATTACAAAGGTACATTCATAAAAATACACACATTCTGTTCAATCATTTGAATTTACTTTACAATTCTATTATAGGTGCAATCATGGCCAGCAAGAAATTAATATTAATATTGCAACCTTAAGAGACTAAAGACAGCTATTTGAGATCACAAATAAATTACACTTAACTTACAATGCATATTTTTATACTACAAGAAGAGTACAAAATTAGTTGTTGGATGCCGTGAATCTTTTACACTTTTCTTTTACAACCCTTCAAATGTATCTAAACAAATATAGTATTAGGAATATTAAAAAAAAGCTAGCTTTTATTGATCTAACAAAGGAGTTATGAGAGGTAAATCATGAAAAAAGCTGACCATGACAGACTGCATCACTATCACAAAAATTAAATTTTATTTCAATATTGCCATACTAATGAATGATGCAGTCTTACGTAATTCATCTCTATGCTGAAGAATTCAGTACGCACCATCTTGCATAGCATTGTAGTTGTAATAGCTGTCTTTAGTTTCTGGCTGTACTGCTTCTATGTGATTACTTAGAGGAGGAGGATGCCCGCTAATTGTTTGTTCCACTGCTCCATAGTTAACAGCTCGATTGTTTAATTGTGTTTGTTGTGCTGCTTCACCTTCCTGAAATAATAGAACTAAGTATTAGTTGTGAAAGTGTATGTCTGTATATGTACAAATGTACAATCTTAATTATGTACATTATATATTTGTTTTTTAGTTTGTGAATTAAATTCATTAACTATGATATTTTCAAATTTCTTTAGGAATCTTCATGAAACAACTTCATTTCAAAGTTGTTTCAAGATAAAAATTAAAATGTAGTTTAAAAACCAAAAATTTCATCAAAAATACTTGACTACCACATTTGTACGTTTAATATAAGTCATCCCCTATAAATATTTTGGATGGAGTAGAGGTGGAGTAGGAACAGATATTTTCAGGAGGAGTAGTACAGGAAGAGTAAGTACAAGTACGTTTAAGACACTACAAAATATGTTCATTTTGAGGAATGATATTATACTACAATGCTGTAGAACTGGAATAATTTGAAGAGGCAATATTTATTTACAGTAAACTATTTGACTTTTTTAACTAAATATTTTCATTTTGCTTTCAGAAGAAGTATTCATTTGTTCAGACACTACATGCTCTAACAGAAAATTTTAAACTAGAATCAGTACCTCAAACTTCCTCATTTTAAATGAAGACTAATATATAATCATGGAATAACATCAAATGTTTCAGAAAGCACAAATCAAAGAATATTTATTACATAACATTTTGCACAAATGCATAATGTAAGGTAATGGATAAACAAGGAAGGGACAATGCTGAAATGTAGCCCAACCCGAAAAAATTAAAAATGTGAAAGTTGTATCAAGAAACTGTATGAGTTATTTTATTTCAATAAATAACAAAAATTACAACCTTTAAGTCAGAGAAAGATTTTGGAAATATTTTTAAAAAAATATATAGTTTTAACTTAAAGTGCTAAGTGGTCAAATAATACACTTTCTATGGTGAGCTAAAGTTCTAAAAAAATTGTTGTGTTTAGTTTGTGTTTAATAAAATAACTTGTTAAATACATGAAATAATAAATATGAATTTCAATAGAACCTGTTTTAATGTTAGCATCATTTAATTCAAATCATAGAGTCCTACCTTATTAGTAATAACTATAATTAACTATTTACAGTAAATAATTAATTGAAAATTTTATGAAATATCAGATTTCTGTACCACAACTTTTAAAATTATGATAACAATTTTCCTGAGTTCTAATTTTTTCTTCAATTTTTTACTAATTTTTTCCCATCAGTCCCAACATCGGGCCCCTTGATTTGTGGGTCTCTGCTCATGTCTAGCACCGGCACTGGTCTACATCAAGGAAAAAAATCACCACCTCTAGTCAATGATATTTGTTTAGAACATTCAGAAATTAGTATTAAAAACTACAATCTTGTATAGAAAGACTAATGTGTAGAATGTGTAGGGCATAGAATTGTTTACAGGAAAAAGTGTCTTGTCAGATAATTTCAGGTGCAATGTGGGTGATGAGCTATTTGTTTAAATTACTTTAGGAGAAACAAGTTTCTTTCTTCTTATATACTAAAATCTATGAGGATCAGGTTTGGAGATAAATGACCTTATAAACCTTAAGCTAAAGATGTATTACTTGCTTTGCCAATTAAGGGGAAAAGTTTCAATATTTACTGAAGTTTCAGAATGTCCTAAACAAAGAACACTGTCATGAAATACATTTCAATAATTGTTTCGAATCTTATGTGTTTTCCCACAGGATATACATTTAAGTACATTTGTCTCTTGAGAGAGCTACCTGAAATGCAAGTGTTGTCTATGTAATGCAATATAACACATGTATTGATTGTGACTTTTTGATTCCAAAGAAAAATAAGCCAAGCTGAAGACTCCATTTTTAAAGGAGAACCATGTAATTCTTTCATTGGATTCTATTACTAACATACTAATGTATTCTTTATATCCTCAAACACTTCTTAACTATTGCATACTTCAACACAATGCAGTAGGTATATATACAGCTTACAGAATGCAAGCCGTATGAGGAAGCATGGTGATAATATTATATCATCAATAATGGATACAAAGGGGGTTGAGCTGTGTATTTATTCCATCAAACAGGGAGAATTTTTTAATAACATTTTGAACTTAATGATAAAATTCTGTTGCTCTCATCTAACACTTGATAATTTATTCTATATTTCATATTAAATAAAACCTAAAAATTTAAATGCAGTAAAACCTGTCTAAGCCGGAATCGTTTGATTCCTTTTTCTTCAATGAGTTCTTGATTCCGGGCACGTCAACTAGTTGGGCCATTAAGGCAGTGATCGCTGTATGGCGTGATCCGGCGCCGACTTACCGTCAGCTAGCGTGGCTTTCCTCAAACAGATATCTCCCACCAACAGGGGCAAGCTTTAAGCTCCCGACCAGTCTCCCGGCATGCGTGGTGCATGTTAGTACAAGGGGTGAGGAAAGGACACGGAAGTAGAAGGTAAGATCGCGTGCAGCCCGTAGCCCGTTTGTTAGGGTACTACTCCGGCATTCGCTTGGTGTTGATCGGGGAGAGCACGGAAAACTACCCATCTCTAGAATTCTCCTCCAGACAGCGACTGAATTAGACCAAGCTGACAAGCTAGTGTCGAAAATCCTGTCACCGTCGTGACTCGAACCTAGGACCTCCCGGTCAGAGGGACTGCAGTGAGATCAGTCGATGCCTTGAACCATCTCTCTCAGTTTATTTTCTTCAATATTTGTAGGAACAGATGATTTTGATCTTATGTGTTTTATAATTCTCCTAGGTCCTCGAGAATATTTTCGCAACCTATAAAAATTTCTTTTAACCACTCATTCTTGATTTTATCTTTGTTTTTAAAGTGACATACTCTTGAGTTCTCCCAACTTAATTTTTTTTTGTTATTTACGTCGGTAAACCTGAGCTTAGCTCCTTAGCAAACAATCATCTAAACAACGCATTACGAACACGTCCATAGCAACGGCTGTTAAAATGCTCGACTCTATTAAAACTATTTTAGACAAGTCTCGGATTTAAACTTAACCAGTGCTCATAAGTCTTTGGTTAAATATGTCCCTTTTGTCCCTCTTGTCCTATTTCGTCCCTTTTGCTCGCAATGTTCCATTTGTCTCCCTTGCACCCTACTCCCATTTGGCCCTTTGTTCCCCTTTCCGTTTGCCCCTTGGCTCATTTTGTCCCACTGTTCCATTTTGCCTCTTTGGCTCATTTTGTCCCCTGGTCCCATACTATCAAACTCCAATTTTGTTCTGTTACCCCATTTGTCTGCATTGTTCCAATTTGTCACCTTGTCCCAATTTGTGACCTGTTGTTCAGTGATAAGTGACCTTTTGTTCAGTGAAAATATGAATGTTCAATACCTCGCAACATGGGCAAACATATGGATACGTTGCAAACAATTTCTAAAAGTCTAATTTATAAACGTGCGTATAACATGAGCTTAACTGTAAATAAAACCACTTTATCTTATCGCCACCACCATCTCGCCATTCAACATTTAACTTCTCGAATATACATCGCGGAGTTATTGCGCAAATTTTAATTAAGATTTGCAGATTGCTTGAAAGAAAATACACTAATACATTGAGAATACAAATTGTAAATTGAATGAAAATAGAATGAATATGGCATTTTCAACAGTAAATTATAATTAAATTATTTTTTATATCCTTTTGATCCATTCTTATTCAGGATTTTTCTGGTGGCCCGTAGTTGATGGGACATCTGTACATATTTTATTGATTTCAAGCAGAAATTTAATGAAAACTACTAGTTTCTTCAAACAAATTTTTTAATGAGCTGATTTTTTAGAACAGATTTTGTTTAAGACAAAAATCTTCAATTTTGTAGTTTTCAAATGTTAAGTTTTTGCAATTTTCGAAAATACGGAAAATCCAACGAAAGTAAGACTTGCTCCATTCTTTCAAGTGACTCTTCTTATATACGTTGACATTTTCTTAAAAAATATTTGGAGCAATTTCTGTGTTTTTTAAGAAATTGCATAAATTTCAAACGCAAATTACTAAAAACCTACTTGGATATCAAAAAAATTTTCTTGACTTTTTTCAAAGAGATAATTTTTTAAAACTGACTTTATTTGAGGCAATTTTGACTCTATCTTCAATTTTGTAATTTTGACATGTTAACTTTTTGCAATTTTCGAAAAACCGAGCAGTACTCGAAAATGAGACATATGTTTTACCGTCCCTTATTACATACGTGGAGAAAATCCGCTGAACGATTTATGCGCTAGCGTTGTGCACAGATGGACGGACAGACACACGTTTTTCCGTCAATCTGTTTTTCGATATCAAGGACGCACAAAAAATGGATACTGGCTACACCATGTGTTAGATGATTTTTTCTATATTTAGGAACTGAATTTATCCACTTTTTTGTTATCAAGACCCGGCAATAAGAATTTTTGTGTCGAAAATTCGCTGTTTTCCGGCGCATGATTACAATAGTTCCTCTTCTTAAGTTAGTGAGAGGCTAACTATAAATTATGTTACGTAAATTTGGAGGATTTTCAATAGCCCTTCACCTCTCAGTAATGTACCCGTAAGGCGCTCTTGACCCCCCGTAAATAATTACGAAACGCTTGCGACAACACCCCCCCCCTTCTAAATGCAAGAAGTCAAACTAGATTATAGAACAGTAAAAACTATTTTTATTTAATTTACTTGGGTTGTATATTAAAGTAATTAATGATAATTAAAGTAGAAATTAGTTGACTGCATCTAACAATAAGACTGGGGCAAGTGGTGAGTGAAGGAAGAATTCTTGGGCGAGAAATAGTTGATTACAAGCTATGCACATGCTGTCGTGGGTGATGCAAGACCGAGAGTCTAGGGCTCCAATTTAAATGGATTCTACAATATATTTCACATCAGTTTTGTATGTTATCTCATTTATTGTAACAATTTACAACTAATAACTTTATTTGTTTTTAAAGCAAACGAATTAGTTAATATATTGATGTTTTAGTACAGGAGTCAAAAACGGAATTATTTCTGCAAAGGTTGAAAAATGTAAAAAGAAAAAAGAA